GCATCCACGGTCATAGCATCCGTATGAATACTTCCACAACTTCAAGATTACTATCATTTACAGCGAAACAACATACTATCGAATGCATGCCGGCACCCATAATAACGCTCACTTCGACCACATCCACAACAAGTGAACCCATGCCGGCACCCATAATAGCGTTCACTTCGACCACATCCACAACCACCAAAACATTGCAATACACAGCACATTCTGATGAGCGGGCATTTGGCGCGAGCAAATAGAGGGGGGGGGGGGGCGTTATTATATGAAGTGATTCAGGGGACCCACGAGCGAAGCGCACAGGGATTACAAGACATCAAAGATGACAAGGGATTTCGTGTGTCCTCATTATTGGCAACCATTTTGGGGTAGTTGTGCTGCGAAACTTTCATGTGGGCTCTCGGGGGCTTACAGTATAAGTGTCTTACAGGCTTACCAGGAGCAAATAGGCTAGGGGCAGTCCTTTGTTTGGTTTCTGATGAGATCCCTGCATTCTAATTCAAAGTCTGTGCTAGTCGGCACTGGGCTGCTGGCTGCAGGTTCCATGGAATCCTTCATGGAGGGGATGGTCGGCGTGATTATGGCAATCCGGACCTAAGCACTCTAGTTGCGCCTGCCCGGAAGGAACGAACACAAGCGACTCCGCTTTAGCGGGTGCCCTTTGCAGAGCAGCTTTGGGACAAGCTCTCGTGAAGCTTGCAACAGCATAAACAGAGAAAGGGATTACAACAGCCAACGCACCATCAGGGATGGCTGCATGTCACAGACTGCATCTCAAATGAGTGCTGGGCCCAGGTGTCGATCGCCTTGCGTATGTCAGCCACAACCTGCATTATTCACTTGGAAAAGCCGATATGCTCAAGATCCATTTGCAACGCATGCCCAAAACCAAGCTGTGGCTAAGTTTGCTTGCTGTAGGAACACCCCAAAAGCCAAGGACCATATCCTTAAGCCACACGATCTGATTCCTTCCCCACCTTTGCAGGGCATGATTGAATCGAGTCGCTGTGAATGTCCAAATTGTCAGGAGGGTCATGAAAAATGTTGGCTGCGACAGTGGGATCTGACCTTTGGCAACACATTGTGACCAAAGGCAAAGGGTGCACCCCCCCGGCGGCCCTCAGAAAACTTACTGATTTTGTGGTTTCTGCCAAACAAGTCTTCAAAAGTATGTCCAATAGATTTCCAAACCTTCTTTAGCCGAGTTCGAGCAACACAAAAAACTGGTGCCAGTTCGCCCAAGCAGCAAACTTGCTCTTTGTCCTCCCTTGGTTGAAACCATGGCTGACCGTCACGGGCACAAAGCAACACGAGCGCCAAGATGAGTTCTCATAAGCTTGCCCGGTCTGCATGGGGAATGCTACGCAACTGTCCATGTCTACCACATGGCTCAGCCAAGCAGCTCATCGAGTTTTTCGAAGTTCGTTGGGTCAAAGTACGGATCTCTTCCACGATGGAATCCATTCGCCTGAGTCTTTGCAAGGTGTGCCCCCGGCGGATGTTTCATGAGACTCAGGGCCATGGGTGCATTTCCACTCGCTGGAGGCAAGCGACAGTTCGTGCCATGCGACTCGTATCGTTCCCATACCTGTCGGACTTGAACTGGAAAGCCAAAATGGGTGTTTCGCAAAACAATCCCGCTCTGCTCCTCTCAGGGGAGATTTACACAATGCACATATAATCCCTTCCCCTAATAGCAAGACCATCGACTCCCCTAAGCATACATGATGCCAAGAGAGAACCATTATGATTTATGAGGGGGCGGGTGTATTGTTGGTGGAACGGAATATCCTGTCGTCACCCAAAGACACGTCCCATTTTGAGAGGACTGACGGCTGAAGCCGGTACTGGCTACATTTGGGTTTCAGGATATATGGGGTTTATGTAGGAAGTCTCTCGTCCCAATCAATGTAGGGATTACATGGGGCTTCCATTAATTAGGGATCTTTTTGGGGTAGCTAGAATAAGGATAACGTTCAGGGATGCTTGGAAAAACTCCCAGATTGGAAGGTCCCGCTAAGCACCATTATGGGGTCTAGGGTTTGAAGCTCATCTGTCCAGTGTCCAGTCCAGACACATTATAAGCAACCGCAACCTTGCGAATGTGCGGCAGCTATTGCAAAGTCAACTGCGGCCCGAACCCAGAAAATGGTCGTAGCTTCCCAAAATAGCGGAACCCAATATAGACCCCAAACGAGAATAAGCCGTAGTCGAGGGACCCCCAAAATAATCCTAATTTTACTAAACCACCAAAGTCTTTCCCGGCAGGTAAGAGAAGGGCACATGAGAGATAATCTAAGCTCCTAGTATCCCCCTTAATAACCCCTATAATGGTTCCCTATATAATCCCCTATATAACCCCCCTTTAAGGAGTTTAGACCCTAAACCCTAAACCCTAAATCCTAAACCCTAAACCCTGAACCCTATATAACCCCCCTTAAAGGAGTTTAGACTATAGGTC